TATATATACACACAAACTGTACTTTTTTATTTATACACAGGAATCCTTGTGTTCACTTCTGCCCAGAAGAAAAGAGCCAACAGGAAACAATGATCCAAAGTCTGGTTCATCCAGACTAAACAGAGCAGGTTTGAAAACGTCCAAAGAAAATGTCCAACCTACAGCTGTATGGTAAGAATTTAGGGATGACCCTCTGTGAGCTTTCATTTCACACTGCTTCTGTGTGAAAAGTCATTCCAGTCCAACCACAAGCTTATACATCAACTTTAGAATAAACTTGGATCACAAGCTGTGAGACTGTCAACATCTGTGCCTGACATCGTTTGTCAGAAGCCGCCCAATCCCAGCAGTTAGCTTCCACAAGAATGGAGGTTGTTAAAGTAAACATCTAGGTTTTTGAAATGTTTACATATGCACAGAGTCCTTTGCTTCCATAGTTTATCACCCGGTGCCAAAAATGATTTGCTGTAAATCTGTATGTGTGTGTTTGTCTGTTAGTAAAATAGCTCATCAACAAGAGGATGGTTTTAATGCCATTTTCAGAACTTAATCACTGGTTGCACATCTACATTTGATTAACTATAGGAGTCACCTCTATCTATCTGTCTGTCTGTCTTTCTGTTTGTATGTATCAGGCATTCTAAAATTGTGACATAAATCACCACACACCCACACAMAATGTGTATTACAAATCAATGCATAATTTGAAAAGACAGTATTTCAGTAAGTCTTTCAGTAAATCATTGACATTGATTAACTAAAACCTACACAAAAATATTGAGTGGAATTAAAAACATTAAACTTCTCAATGTGTAAATAGTGCAGGTGGGCACCAGTCCGCTAAAGCGCAAATCCGCTAATTGTGGACCTAAACATTTTGTTTTCACTTTTGCGGTCTTTCTTATTTTTATAATTCATAAGCGGATTTGCACTTTTTAAATTTAAATTGCAGTTCCGCTAATAACTAATTATCTACCAGTCATCCTTATCTTGAACAGCAGAAGGTATGACTGTCAGGACTCACAACACGTGATCCATCCAACAGCTCCCCTTCCAGCTAAACACTGTATATGGGAAGGTACAGTATATGTCCTTCCTGACTGTCGCTTTGGGTCACAGTTCAGTTGGTTTTCATTTTAGTAGGCCAGCTTTGCAAAGTATTTTTGCTGGCAGCAATCTAAATTACTCATATGGCTTCTGTTAAATTACAATAAACACAGTACAAAAGACAAAATTCGGTAGCCAGCAGGGATCCACATTTTACAGACATTTCCCACAATGCTTTGTGTCTGTCTGCTTACATAGCAGGAAGGCAATGTTTAGAACTCCCTTTCCCAGCAAAAACAGTAAACGTTTGTAATCCATACTAAAATTTTGAATGTATTGTTTTATTTTATTTTACAATCGGAGCTCCCTTTTAAAAAAATAAAGTTTAAACGCTGGAGCTCACTAATTGATGTAAATGGTTGAAGCAACGGGAAAACCAGTTACATTTTGATACATGATCAGTGGAAGAAATGTTTTGTCATCTCTCCTCAAATGTCTTGTGGCTGGCTGTTCACATTTTTCAAAAAGGAAAGAGAAAGTGCACTTTGACGGGAAGTGCTATTTAAATGAAAATTATCTGATCACATTAATTTGAAATCACTCAATATTATTTTTATTTAGAATTACATAAACATAACGTTTATGTTTTATTTAACTACAATGACTGGATTTTACTCCAAACATTTTTATTTTAAATTTAATTAAATTGTTGCCTCAAAATCAAAAACACAAAAATATTGAATATATTTTACACAATATATTAATTAAAATGTACATAGCCACAGAATCATTTATTTCAGTGCAAGGGGAAATGTGTGACAACAAACAACCAGTGAGACCAAGAGACTAAAAAAGCTGTTGTTGATTAACTTGAGCAGAATAACATGACTTTCCTCCTGTAAGTGTGGAATCAGTTTTTCTTCTACAATAAAATGAAAATAAAATTTCTCATGATTTGGTGAAACATGTCTAAAACACAATTATAACCTCAGTTAAATCATGTTAACGTTGTATTAAAGCTTTAGATGGAAAATGTCAGCAAAACAACAAATATCATCGTCAATGAGTCTAACAAAGCCCAAATCATTTTCATGTGTTTACTTTATTAATAATTTAACAGTGAATTCAGGTGCATTTGCAAAACCCTTATTTATATTTTTACAAAACAAAGAACTGTTTCTTCAGACTCATGTGAAACATATCGGTGACCCATCACATTAACTTAGTTCCAAATCGGWATGTGAAGAAATAGGCATTTATAGTGTTTTGGTTAAAACATTACTTTTGTCAAAATATAATGAATAAATGCTTTTTTCTGCAGATTGTTAAAAATATAAAGTGTATAAATATTTTTA